AATGCTTCACTGTTAATACCTAGAACTTTCAACAATTTACCTTTTGCTATGCCAGTTCTGTTTATTTTAGAACACAATCTAGAACTAGGGCCCAGAGCTCTGGATACCTAAACATACTTAAATCAATCCACCAGCCACTCCTTGGAAGGAAGGTTGGGCAATCTACTTCGGTGGTGATACCAACTCAGAAACCCAAGGAGTGTTGCTATGAGTTGGATATGACTCGATGGCAGTGGGTTTATAATTAACGACAAGGCAGGCCTTGAGCCTTAATCCAGGTGATTTATTGCTAATTTTTTTTTTCTGAATTTTAAAACTCAGTTTCCCAATGTCTAGTCCTATTAATATAATGGATACATTTAAAAATCACCTTAGGCTTCTAGCTATTTGACCTACTAGAACCACAAGAGGGTTGAAATCACATTAGGTGTCAAAACAAACAAGAAAGCTACTGTGTGCTTATTCAGTGTAACAGGGAGAGAAAGCAATGTTTCTAGCAAGGTTGAGTTTTTCAACTACTGCAGCTTTAACTGAGGCCAAACTGTTGGCAATGTTGTTTATAAACAGTACCAGTAATTTATTTTAGAATCATTTTGAAAGGAGTTTCAGTCCACTATGTAGAAATATCCAATTACACACTGGACACTCACACTGCACATTTAAATCAATGAGTAACTTTACATGAAAAACTGACAGACTAGGAAAACACCGATTCATTTCAAGTACTATATTATTTGATAAAATGCAATTATGATTACGTCTATTATTTGGGCATTCCTTGGAAAAAAGACTTAAATAACTTGTTAAGACAGGAAACAAATGAATTTATTTATATATTCTATTTAACTACAAAATGAACACTAACTGAAATGTAAGTGGGTAATGCAAATACTGTAGAATCATGAGCTTAGTCTCCTCAAACAATCCTAGAGCAACAGTTTTGAACATATCTTGCTACACAACTGTCCAAAGACCACAATATCAACATTGACTAAAAATGTGTTAATGTACAGCATTAACATGACAACAATGTAGGTAAATTCTGAAGTCAGCAGCTGAAACAGACTTCTATTTTATAATACAGTCATTCGTGTATTGTTGTAAGAATACATTTGGACAAGTTAGTGGGTTGACACCAAATTCTTTCAGTTTACATCAGAAAGCAACAACTCAAAATTATTATTAGAAAGGGTAACATATATGGGCCAATTCAAACTGTAAATATTAACAGAATTTTATCACTGTGATTGGTTAAGATTTTGATTTTTAAAAAGTAATGCCAATATAATAAAAACACCATGTTATATTGAAATAGGTAGACTTTAACGGCTTGATATACTTATCAACACAAATTTCCTGATGTGGTTATATAATACATGGTTAAATAAATTATACTAGACATTATGTCAACTTTTCTCATAAATAAATACGAAACACCGAACTATTTTAAAGGTTATCACTAAGCCATACAAGTGATGAAATTTAATAATAAAATGTCATTTATCTCATTTCCAAATAATTTTCTAAATTTTAAAAGAAAGGAAATCAGAGTCACATATATATGTCACATATATATATGCTCAATATTTACATGTGATATTATAAAACCTCTTAGCCTAGTGGTAAAGAATTGGGCCAGGTCCACATCATAGTGGCTGTGTAATCTAAGACAGGTTACTTAACCTGTGTGTGCATCAGTTTCAAATGTCAACTGAGGATCATGAGAGCACCTATTTACCTAAAGCTATTTGTTGGTGTTGAGTCGATTCTAACTCATGTTGACCCCATGTTACAGAGAACTGCTCTGCAGGTTTTCTTGGTTGTGATCTTAGCAGAAGCAGATGACTAGGCCTCTTCTTCTGAGGTGGGTTCAAACTGCCAACCTTTAGATAAGCAGCAGAGCACAATGATTTTGTGCCATCTAGAAACCTTTAGGGGATGTTAAATGAGGTAAGGCACAGCAGTGCCTAAAGGGTGCCTGATACATAGCGATGCACTGACTTCTTTAAAGGCACATGATCATAAGCAAAACAGTCCAGGTACAATGGGATACAAGGTGTCATGATCATTCTTGAACATGTGTCAAGTTTTCTTTGAACTTGTAAAGTCTGCTCTTAATGGGTGAGAAAAAGCCTAAGTTTTAAATATCACAATTCATAACCCAAGCAAAGTTTCATGGGGAAAAAACTCCCTAATAATAGTGTCCATACATATGGCTACCTATGCAACTGGGAAGATAGTCCACAGTTTTCCAGAAATAAAGAACGAGCCAAAAACATCTCAACTTTGGAATTTAATAGTAAGTAACCAAATGGTGACTGTTATTTTGTAAATATGCCAGTTTTGATTCTCTCCTTTCAAACTTCAAATAGTGTGGCTCTCATGTTATAAGTAGATCTACTTATTAAAGAACCCCAGGATGTGTTTAGCCCATTTGTAGCCTGTTTTCTGAAAGAGAAAGCAGAACAAGCATAATAAAAATCGACAAGATTAGAATTACTAAGTTTGAATGCTACTGGAGAAGAGGGAAATAATAACATTCAACTCTTTAGTTCCATGTATAAATGAACTAAAACTCAAAGTAGTTTAAGTGTCTTGTTCAAGGCCACAGAGGTAGTTTGAAGAGTCATAAATATGTTTAGTAACCAATTCCCTCCAATGCTGTCTTAAGCCAATATGGGATAGAAACAGTCTGTAAGTAAGCAAAACATGTTGGTAGCAGTAATTTTGCTGATAGAAAATGAGAGACATACAGAGCACCCCACACATGCAAATATCCAGTATAATGAAGGCTTTTGTTGCACTGAGAGATAAGTTTATCACTCCAGGACACAGAATGTATAATCTTGGATGTAGGGGAAAAACTACTTTCTACGGCTCACCCAGTTTCTATAAATGCTTATCGTTTACATAAAGGGTCTCCACCTTCATCACACTGACTTGAACTTCAGCACAGATAATTATAATAGCTTAAAATAATCAAGGCTCAGAGATTTCCACAGGCTTAAGTTTGAATTTTTGGAAATAGCACCTTTCAGTTTAGTGTTCCTTTGTAATAGGGAGAGATGTTTCTTGGATTTTAAGTGACAAACAAGAGTGTAATTTTATTTATACCCAGATTTGAAGCTTCTATGGACAAATACTCAAGTAGGAGCCCACTGTTCTTAATGATAGTAGAGTGATCTCTCGGTATCCACAGGAGATTGGTTTCAGGACATCCCCCCATCCTGCCAGTAGATACCAAAATCTGCAGATGTTCAAGTCCTTTATAAAAAATGGTGTAGTCTTTGCATAAAATCTATGCACATCCTCCTTTATACTTTAAATCATCTCTAGATTACTTATAATACCTAAAACAACATAACTGCTTTGTAAATAGCACTTTACATTCCTTCTTAGCCTTTGAGGGATTGATTGCATTGACCACTTAATTGCTTTTTAGGAGTCTTAATTACTTCCCCCCAAATATTTTCGATGTATGGTTAGTTGAATCCACACACGTGGAACCTGTTGGTTCCAAAGGGCCAAGTCAATCTAACTATACATGTATTACTTATTATCTTGAAGAAATGTATTTTTGTTAGTAATTCTAGTCTATAAATTTTATTACAGTATTCTCTTTCTACATTTAGGATTGAAAACATATATTCTCCATTGGATACATGTTCAAAGAATCACTTCAATAATTATCATAGTCTTAGGAAAAAAAACTGTACATCTGTACTCTGTTTACAAAACGTTAATATTATAAAGTAATTCTAACTCCTACAGCAAATCTAATATTTAATAACTATAATCAGAAAGGAATTTAAACTCCAAAAACTAAAGTTGTTGTTGTTGTTTTTCAATTGAGAAATAATGCCGTATCTGCACACTAATCTATAGTTCTAGCCTATCTTCAGGACAAAGATTTGGGTGGAACTCTGCCTCTCGCCATGTTTGCTGGCCATGTGCCACACAGAAGAATGGTGATGACACCATGAATGTTCAAAATCAAGTTAAAAGTTTTGTTTTTTTTTTAAAAAAAAAAAGCACCAAAGACACAGAACAGCCATCAGATCGAAGTAATTATTTGACAATATTAATATTGTCCAACACTGGGCAGAAATCACCCATTTGGAAACAAAATGATTCATCCGAATGAGGCAGGATTTCATATTTTTTAGCTCAAATTTTTAGCAGTTCATAATTCAGGAGTTCATTAATAAAGTAAAGCTTTATATGGTTTTGAGACCAATGGTTTAAAATTCAGTTTTGCATATTTATGATCATCAGTTTTAATAGACTTAAAGGAAAAAAAACTACACATTTAATAAGATTTAAATATTTTCAATTTAGTCACTCATTTATTTACACTAGTCCTTAGTAGTCAATCTTCATCTTCGCATTTCTATTTCATCAACAATCATCTCAGACACACCTTCTAACAAGACTGACTTAAAATATTACGACAGGAAACTAAGCCTTCAGGAGCATGTTTATTGTGTTTGAGATGATACATCAGGTGCTCTCTGAGCTACAAAGAGTAAAAGGAAATCCTCTCATTACAAACTGACAAAGGTAAAAGGTAAAACATTTTTCACAACAGCATGTACCACATACTCAGAAATAGATCTGGGTTTAATACAAATGACATAATTCCTAGTCATCTACGGCTACTTTTATAACTTCATACAGATAATGAATTAGGCTAAAATGCACTATAATATTTGGTAGACTTCAGGACCAGTATCCTTAGTACATCACAAAATACATTTTGATATCCCAAAGAAGCAAGACTTGCAAGTAGGCGTTTTAAACATAACTAATCTACAGCTACAAAGTTCTACTCTTGATAGCATTTACCTTTTTAGGGAGTCTCCCAGTCTCCAAAGGATAAAAGCAGAGAGTAGAATCAGTATAACATATACACAGAAGTCCGTATTGTAAAGGCTATAAAGATCTGCAGCACAGTGAGAAGACACTTTCTGCTCCTTCACACTGCATACAAATTATGTGAATTATGTTGCGTATCTCTTGGTCCACTGTCTGGCTATCCTGTCATGTTCTGCTCTGTTCGTCAAATACTGAGT